ATATGTTAATAACATTTTTTCCCAATTTATACGAAATAACGGTATGATTCATGAACTTACTTGTGTTGACACCCCTCAACAGAATGAGGTTGCTGAAAGAGAAAATCGTCACCTTCTTGAAGTGGCTCATGCATTAATGTTTCAGACACATGTACCCAAATACTATTGGGGAGATGCTATTCTTACTGCAGCATTCTTGATCAACCGTTTACCCACTCGGGTACTTGACCATGTAAGTCCTATTCACTCTATAACTTCTTTTTTCCCTTCTATTCCAACTATGAGTCTTCCTCCACGAGTGTTTGGGTGTGATACTTTTTTTCATGTTCATAAACATCATTGCAGTAAGTTGGACCCTAGGGCTATTAAATGTGTTTTTCTTGGTTTTGTTCCCGATAAGAAAGGCTACAAGTGCTATCACCCTGGTAGTAGGAAATTTTTTGTTTCTATAGATATTACATTTCAGGAATCTGAGTCCTTTTTCCAAGGTCCTCATCTTCAGTGGGAGAATCCTTCACCAGAAAGCTCATCACCTCCCTTCTTTGAGTCTTCAATGTCTACTCCTTTACCTATGTCAGTGTATTCTCCTCTTGTCCCTATTGTTCCTGTTCCTTCTGTGTCTGATCCTCCTGGGACTGATACATCAAGTTCACCAGAGATACGAAAGATTATGACACCTGAGTTGGTATATCAAAGAAGGAAACAACCCACATTGCCTCAGCAGCAACCTCAATCGTCTGAACCACTGGTAAGTCCTGAATCTCATATTTCTGATCTTGATGTTAATACTTCTGATGACTTACCCATTACTACTGATTCTGATGATTTACCCATTGCTCTTAGAAAAGGAAAAAAGATCTTGTTCTAAGAAATCTTGTTCCTCTTGTCCCTCTTGTACTCAATACCCTATCTCCCATTTTGTTTCCTCTGCTAATCTTTCTGTGCAGCACAAAAGCTTTGTTTTAGCACTAGACTCTATTGCAATCCCAAAATCAGTACATGAAGCCTTGAAAGATGGGAATTGGGCTCAAGCCATGCAATAGGAGATGAATGTGTTGGAGAAAAATAAAACATGGGAGGTTATTGATAGACCTAATGGAAAGAAAGCAGTAGGGTGCAGATGGGTTTATGCCCTGAAATATAATTCTGATGGAATTCTTGAGAGATACAAAGCTCAATTAGTTGCCAAAGGTTACACTCAAACCTATAGCATTGATTATGAAGAAACATTTGCTCCAGTTGCAAAGATGAATACGGTGAGAGTCTTGTTGTCCCTTGCTGCCCATTACGATTGGGATATAAATCAATTTGATGTGAAAAATGTTTTCCTCAATGGTGAGTTAGAAGAAGTCTACATGGAAATCCCGCCTGGTTTTGATTCTGTGAAAGGAGAAAATAAAGTTTGTAGATTAAAAAAGGCCTTGTATGGATTGAAGCAGTCACCTCGTACCTGGTTTGGAAGGTTTACTAAGGTTATATGATGACCTTAGGATACAAACAGAGTCAAGCAGATCACACTCTGTTCTTCAAGCATTCCCATAATGGGAAGCTTACTGTGCTCCTTGTATATGTTGATGATATTATTATCACAGGTGATGATTTTGTGGAGAAACAGATTGTGCAAACACGGCTTGCCTCTGAGTTTGAAGTCAAAAACCTTGGGAAACTGAGATATTTCCTAGGGATAGAAGTAGCTCATTCAAGGAAAGGAATTTTTATCAGCCAGAGAAAATATGTTCTAGATCTTCTCAAAGAAGCTGGAAAGCTCGGGTGTAAACCCTCTAATACTCCTATTGAGCAGAATCACAAGATAGGCTATGAAGAGGAGAGTCCTCTAGTTGATAAAGGACAATATCAACGGCTAGTTGGGAAATTGATATATCTGGCTCATACTAGACCAGACCTAACTTATGTTGTTAGTGTTGTCAGTCAGTTTATGCACGATCCAAAGGAGAAACACATGCAGGTAGTAGAGATAATTCTTAAGTATCTTAAAGCTACTCCTGGTAAAGGATTGTTATTCCGACGTGATGGCAATCTCTCTTTAGAAGTCTACACTGATGCTGATTATGCTGGATCCGTGACTGACCGTCGATCTACCACTGGTTATTGCATGTTTCTTTGCGGTAACTTAGTGACATGGAGAAGTAAGAAACAAGATGTGGTTGTCAGGTCAAGTGCAGAAGCTGAATTTCGAGCTATGGCTCAAGGCATTTGTGAGTTACTGTGGCTGAAAATTATACTTGATAATCTCAAAATAAAATGTGAGGGACCCATGAAGCTGTTATGTGACAATAAGTCCGCGATTTGTATAGCTCATAATCCGGTTCAACATGATCGGACTAAACATATTGAGGTCGACCGTCATTTCATCAAAGAGAAACTTGATAGCGGGTTGATTACCACTCCATACATTCCCACTGGGCGTCAATTAGCGGATCTATTGACAAAAGGACTTCCTTCAGACAGATTTCAAGAACTTACTAGCAAGCTGGGAATGATAAATATCTATTCCTCAGCTTTAGGGGGAGTGTTGTAAATATTAGGTATTTTATTATTATTAGTATTTGTTGTATTGGGCCAAGCCCATTAGGTCAAGAATTAGATTTTTTTAGTCTTTATAAATAAAGACCCCTTTGTATCAGATTATACATAATTATAATAATATATTTTTCTGATTAGGAATTCAGAAAAGCGACAACGATAATTATACATAATTCCAAGTGACAACGATAGTGAATCAGACCAAAAGCCCAGTAAGGCATTGGAGCAGGCCTTCCAATTAAGGAGGTTCAAAAGCGAGTACCCAGAAAAGACGTAAAAATCGAATACACCTCAAATGATCTTGTATTTTAGAGAGGTTCCTTTGTAGAAAACATTCATTCCATTGCTAAGCAGAACATTATGTGCAGAAGCTATGTCACCTTTCAGATCTTCTTACGCAGAAAGAAACACAACCAAACAAGAAAAATGAATTTCCCCTTAGGGAGAACATTCATAGGGAGGATCGGAGTCTTGTGAGCGTTGGAGGGAACGTGTAGAGGCTTGAGGCCAAGGAACTGGCAGCGAAACTCTGACGAAGAGAGATTGGAAAACTTGGTGACGCCGTGAACGACAGAGGGATCAAGTTTCTCGTGCAACTTGACTCTGCACAATTTGAATTCGTATCCATGCAGAGGCCTATTACCTCAGTTCGTTAGAGGATAACGTATTGTAAATAAAAAATAATTAGGAGAGGAATAACTGTAGGAGAATATAGAGAGATAAGAGACAGTAGGAGATTCTTGTATTGTAGTTCCTTTTGAAGATTTGTACATGTATTTAGTTATAGGCTCACAAGATAAGGTATATGTCTTTGTTTATAGACTTGTCTACCACTCTCCAACGTTATATCATAATCTCAATAAAAGAGAAAAATAATAAAGGTAGGTGAGATTATGATCTAATGGTCTTGAAGAATGGTAGGCAAAGGCAAACAGAAAAAAAAAAAAATAGGTAGAATAACTTATCTCATATTATTTATAACAATTTGCTTTTGTTTTCTTCTTTTTTGATTTTGTCTTTTAAGAAGCATTGTATACTTTTCATATATTTGATTTTATTTTTATTTTATTTTTATTTTTTTTGTCATGAGTCTATTTTTTTTTTTTCTGAGAAGGGTAAAATGTGCACATCAGTTTAATTTCTAACAATTTTAAAGGTGAATTCGAATGGAAAAAAACCATAAGGAGTAAGTGATTAAAAAAATAAATAAAGATATAAGTAATTCAAAAAAAAATTATAGGGAGTTTTTGAACTTTGTCCTGTTAAATTATATATCTATATTATATAGGGTTTTATTAGTGTTATGTTACATGATTTAAGTGTTGTTTCCAACACACACAAAAAAATGGAGAGAGAAAGTGGAATGATGAAAGAGAAAGAAAAACATGTGGACCCCACCTCTTTAAAGTGTGTGTAGGAAAGTAATGTTATATCATGTTACATGATAAACATAAAACCCTTTTATATATTAAATGGCTTGAGAAGCATTTAACAACACCGTGCATGTTTATTCTATAAAAATGCAATAATGAAATAAAAAACGACAAAGTATGACTGAAAAATATTAATCATATGATGTTGATAATATACAATAAAATTGTTTTGAAGTGTAACTTTTTTAAATAAGATTAATAAATAATAAATAAAAATAACCATTATGCTGACTTTTAAAAGAAAAATTAGAATAGTATCAACTATAAAAGAATGTAATGATAATAGTGTTGGTATTAAAAAGAAAAAGCTAAATAATAGTAACAGGATATAGTAATATTGTGTTGAGAAGTAAACATTATTCTTAATAAAAATGAAAAGTATTAAGAATTAAACAAAAATCATGTTAAAAAAAAAAAAATAGAATAATAAAATAAAAAATAATAATATTAAGATGTAAGTGCTGGTAATAAAAATACAAATTAAGTAGTAATGATATAGTAAAATTATTTTCTTAAAAAAAAAGATAATAATATTGAGATGGAACATATGTAAAAGATAAAAGATTAATCATGCAGTAGCAGTAGTAACGATAATAATATTCTTGAAAAAATTAAATTACAAAAAAAAATTAGTATAAAATAACATTAATTAATGGCATTAACCGCTGTTATAATTAATGGCTTCAAACTCCATCCTCGCTTTCTCGTTACAAGTACCATAATAAATAACCTTTACATTCGTTTGCATAATAAACCATGGTCATAAAATTGAGGTTATACAAGTGAATTTTGCCTGTGGTGGTGGCCCAAGTTTTAACATGTCATTTAAAATATGGAAATAACTTCAAATTTACTTTAGAAGAAACAAGCGTAGACATTCAAAAAGAGGAATGGCGGCATATCGTGCAAGATTATGAAAAGCCATGTATCTTAAAATTGAAATTCTGTTTTTTCTTTCAATTTTTCATTTTCAGCATCTGGGTAACAATGTGCCCGACTCGTAACTTGTGAGAAATATACAAGAATTAAGATTGAATAATTTCTTAGACCATAATCCCTAGTGACAAAAATAGAAACAAAGAAATTAACATAAATCAGTGATAAGCAACAGCTGGAACGAAATGTAAAAACTGCAATTACAATATATGAAATTGTATGTCAACCTTATGCTGCCATCCTTTGATTCACCTGTATATTACAATATTCACAAACAAAATTGAGTTCACAGATGATGTGATACCTATAGAATTCTTCATGTACCTCTATCAAGGTTCAATGATCACTGGATATTGTGGACAGCGATTTCCTTGAAACAAAAAACTTGATCAGTTGAGTGACTATGGTCTGCATAAATTGCTCGATAGTAGTTGAATATGCTACTGATACTAATCAAGTAAGATATTAAGCAGCAGTAGCATAAACTTAGCTCATAATGGCTGAAGTTCTTGCTCGGGAACAACCACATCCACTGGCTTGTACGAATGCAAGCTTTGCTGTCTTTTTTTCCAAATTAAGAATATTCCTAATATTGATAATCCTAGAAGCAATGTGAGCAAAACACCTAAACTCACAACCAAGTAATATTGCTGCCACCAATTCCTGCACCATTTTAGAAAAATGTGTTAATAATATCTGAAGTAGCTAAGGTGAATTCAATATTGGAAATTTTCGGATACACACTTTTTACCGTAGGCATTCGATTCAATATTTGAAAACTTATATCTAAACAGGTGCAAAGTTGTGTGGGACTGTGGGTCATGTTAGAAAACTTATATGTAAACAATGCCCTTACGCATGTTAATTGCTTAATGGAATGCCCACCTAAGAATTTCTCCAGAATTTCTATTCAACAATAGACCCCATACACTTTTGAAGGGTTAACATTTACCCCAAAAAAGTAAGGGGTAAAATGTTTCTTTCCAAATTTAAGCCTATTTTTACTTTCAAGAAAATAGTTACCGTTTTGATGGAGGCTCAACATTCCAATCGATCAACTTATAACTTCCAAAGGTGCCAGGAAGTTGCATGCGATGTTCAGCAAGCCGGGCAATTATACCCTGCATATAGAAAATCGCCATCAAATGGGCAGTGTTCAAACAAATACAAAAGCAAAAATGTCAGCTTACCATTGCAGTTGTGTTAGAAATGTAATCAGCATATGGCCTCGAGGTTATGGCCCATCTAGAGAGGGAATCATTTCCATGCGAAGTAAAATTCAGTAAGTGAACCTGTGAACATCCACCGAAGAGTGCCATTACCATAAAGTAACAAAAAACACATTAGCGGGTAAAATTTGCTGAAAATGCAAAGCTTATTTGGGTACTTTGCAAAGTTATCACCATGACTTTGTAATCATGCAATGGTAATGGCATAACCCATGAGCTAGCCAAGATGGCTATGTACATGTGATGTATATTTTTAATCAAACACTTTTTAATTGCATTAAAATTGTTAATTAAACTTAAAGCTGTAATCATGCAACAAAATGTTGCCGCAATGTAGTGACCATTTTCTAACCTGGGAAGTATTAACACCTAACTCATGAGCTATGAGTCCAGTCAATTCTGTAATGTGAGGCTTCATTTCAGCCGAGCTGATGTTAAATGAAATTACAATTATTATTTCAGCAATTTGGAGTTCACCTGTGCATTTAAGTTGATTAAAGTACATCAGCCATCAATGAGTATATACATTTAAAGAGATTGCACTAATTTCAGAGACCTATTAAAAGCATGAAGAAATATGTTAGTGAAAAATGCAACCCGCGATCCTGGTTAACACATGATGTCTCTGTATATACTTTTAAATACAGATTGAATACCAGCAGGCAGCAGCTTATAATACCTGGAGGTACATTATGCTGAGATGCAGATGGAGCAACCGCAGGCTCTAATGCTTTGGTTGAATTTCTTACTTCTGAATTTGTAGGTATTGGTGGTGGGGCATCAGATATATGTAGTCTTTCCCATAACTCAGCACAGTTTGTTTTCCAGAAACCAATTTTTGATCGCTCACGGTCATACATTACAAGAGTGTTTCTGACAATGATACCTACGCAAATAAAAATGACTTGCGAATGATCACTAAAATATTGTAGAAACCCATACCATAGAAGCTAGCCATCCGATCATAATTAGAGAGGAAGAAGATTTCACATGAAGGCAAAACATGAAATGGCAGAGTTCCCAAAAGTAAATAAGTTACCTCCTAAAAGAGTAGTCGGATCCTTTCCATTTTGGAAAATCCCAAGACAGTATGCACCTCTCACTTTTGAATGCTTCATAAAAGATTGCCCCATGAAACGTAGGGAATATGAAATCAGTAAGACTTGATAAAACAATTGCGTGTACACACAGCTAAAGATACTAATGATCTTATATAACTAACCCGGAACATGTAATTTTCAGGTGACAGTGAGTACTTGTGACCATTCCCAAATACCATGTCAACAACTGGAAAGCTTTCTAAGAGTTGAGAGACATCACTAAAATACAAGTAAACCCAAACTGTTAATTAAACTGCAATATGAAAGAGTGAAGTGGACTCTTTAGTAAGGTTACAGACATACATTCCAGCACCAGAAAAACATATATCATTATAATTTGAATCTGGACCACCGATTTGCTTGAAAGATTGAAGTTCCTTCACAATCTGCAAACAGATAAAGTACAAAATCAGAGTCATAAGGTATATAAGTTACAATTTTTTGCTAGAAATTTGACATGAAAAAAGAAAATAAACTTTAAAGGATGTTCACTGATAAAAGCAAAATTAAATATTTCAAAAATCCTTATATGCTTGGGACCACAAACAGAAAACCATGGATGAAGCCTGCAATTAACAAATTAGAGATTCTTCAAACTACGAAGTATTTAAAGTCATATATGCCCTATTAAAAGTATGGCATACATATTCTGCCTATTTGAATGAAGAAAATCAATGATGATTCATAGAGCCTTTAAGTATATTAAAAGAAATTTATTAAGAAAGGCTAAACAGTATCAATCTTAGCATCCCATTAACTAGAAGCCCTGAAAACTTATAATTCTTACAGTATGTCTAGATGGCCTCCTCAAAAATAAACAAATAAATAAATACTGTTATAATTATATATTGGCCCATTGAACAATTTATTCTAGCTCCACGCATGATACTGTGAAACTCACAAATCGGAAAATAATCTAAGGTGTTTAGAAAATGGAAGGTGAGACTAAAAAATGCAACTTCAAAAACTTCCTAAGAAAATATTAATGAAAGAACTTACGGCATCTTTAAATGCAACAAAAGCTGCTTCTGGTAGGTATGCATAAGTTGTACCACTATCCAAGACAGTTCCATGTTTCCCATCAAAAACCTTTGGGTTTAGAGGCAGTCGCTTCCCCGCAACACGTATCTCCTTCAAATTGATATTGTAATATGGGCTGTCGCACCCCGAAACTAGAGTAAATGTGTGAGATTAATAAAATGCATTTGTTAAGAAAATGCATTACATCTCATATCCACAAGATAATTAATTTTGAAATACAAACCTGCGCACAGGGTCTGAATGTGCAAATACCATGTCTGATGGGGGAGATATGCCACCAAGAACCATTGCACCCCCACCAACATCCATTCCACCATAGCATAGGGAGAATGAATCACTTATTACATTTTTTTCAACCAGTTGATCCATGATACTTAGATCTCCACGGCCCAAACCCATGATGCCATCAGCATGCTGACTATAAAGATCACCAGTCTCAACATTTTCACAGCCAAAAACTGCTCGCTGTGGGGTAAGCTCACTCTGATTTCCAAAGGATACGACATCCTCACCAAGGACACCACTGCTAGTACTCATTTCAGCATACTGTCTCTCATACACACACTGCATTCTATCATTGTCACAGTTGCAATCAATTGTGCATTTAACAGGTTGATAGGTGCTAGACAAGTCTGGCTGGAACTTTGGATCCTGTTAAAATAAAATTGGACACACAACATCCAATCTACTTCAGATAAATTGGACGTGTAACAACTTATACATGCATAGGTACAACAAGTTTTTATTAAATTCATTCTTTCACATCTCTTTCAACATGGCATTGATGGTATTCAGAAACACAATATGAAAGACGTAAGTAGTCTACTGCACTAATAGGGGTGGAAATCGAATAGGTTAGACCAACCTTTGCAAAGCACTTTCCCTAGCATAGCCTATTAAATAATATAAGTTTTATTTAAAGGCCTGGCTTCGTTTTTTTTTTTTTTTATGAAAATATAAAAGCCAAAATTATTCCGAAATCTTATTTAAAGGTCTATATTGAATTATGAACTTCAAATAAGTTAATAGGCCACCTTTCCATTTTTACTCTTACCAAGCACATGCTGGTTGTGCATCAATATTTACAAAAGCCTTGACCACAAATCAAACTATCCTATAATACCCCAGGCACGTATTTTCATAATCACGAGTCATCAACATATCTACAACCCAATACAAGCTCTTTTACACAATTTAATTTTCATTGTCCATTTGCAACATATAGGAATACAATTAACTGATATAAAGTAAGGATCCGTCTGAAAAAAGTAAAGAGAATCAACCTATGCACACATCATCCAAATATGTATACATCATTACACGCAAAAAATTAAAAATAACAAAATAAAAGCAATCAAGCATTACCTGGTGGCTACCACACTGTTCGCAAGTGGAGCACGGAACATACGTAACAGTACTCCCTGTGTCAACAATAAGAGCAAACATCTGAGGAGGAGTACCGATCCAAAGCCGCGTTGTGTAGTACCTACACGATCCAATTCGCCAAGAAAAATACACAAAACATACATAAATCTCAATTCTACGAATTTGATTTCAAAAAAATAAATAAATAAAGAAGAAGAAAGTGCGTGCAGCGATGACGTAAGAGGTTCACCCGTTGAGAAGGAGATCGTCATGGAGTCTCATGCGAGCGTTAGGGTGGCGTTTGGACTCGGATCCCTGGAGTTGACGACGGGGATCGAGCGCTGACGTGGAGGAATTGGGAGCGGAGAGATACAAGGGAAGAACCATGGCAGGACGAGAGGCATGGTGGCGATTTCGGAGGAGCGCGGCGTCGCTGGCAACGACACAAGGACCGAGCTGCGCAAGGTGTAGGATTAGGGAGAGGGTGGAGATGAGGTGAATTGATGCCCGCGCCATGAGTTGGTGACTCGGGCTGGTCGAACGAGTCAGGATCCGAGTTATGCTTCCGCGCGAACGGATCGAAACGAGAGAGAAAAGAAAGGCCTCTCTGTGAATTAGAGAAAGGAGGGAAGTCGAGTCAGCGTCTCCCTCAAGGAAAGATAATAAGATTTTCATTAGTTTACGTTACCCTTCTTAATATTTTAATGGTTTATTTTTAATGTTATTTTTAATGAAATTGTGTTATTTTTGTATGTTTTTGTATTCTCTCTTTTTCACTTTCTTTTTTTCCTAATTCATTAAAAAAAATGTAAAAAAATATAAAACACACATCAAAATAACATAATTTCATTAAAAAGACATAAAATTATGTCATTTAAAATAACAAATACTTTTTCCTATTTTAATATTAGGATTTTAGTTTTTTTTTGGTTAAGTTTATATTTTTTTCGTACTTTATCTTCATTTTAATAATTATGATTGTTTGTTTGATTTATTTGTTATAGATTTTTTAGTTTAATAACTATATTGGATTGGATGTTCAAATTATTTTATTAATTACCAACATTTTAAGTCTTTTTTCCTATTTTAAGATAAAACTACCCTATCAAAGATGGTTTGACATGATATCATTTGATAAAAAATTTAGATAAAGATTCGTGATAAAAATAATTGATATAACAGATAAATCAAATAATTAAAAAAATTACAAGTAAACTAGAGGAATATTTACACTTCCTGATGCATGTTCAACAAAAGTAATGGAGTTCCATTCTTTGATTTCTTTCTTTTTTGGTGAGCTGGAGTTCCATTCTTTATGCGTCAGGTGATGTTCACATCAATCTCAAACAAATAGGCGCTCCGCTTGCAATGAATCTCCAAAAGTAGATTAGTTTATTTCATATTAAAAACTTTTTTTTTATAAATATTACTTGTAATTTTTATACAATCATGCCAAAACTTAGGAAGCTTCTCTTTCCATTTCACTGCCAAACTACGTTTCAACTACGTCAATTGTCGGGTGTCTAAGTTTGCCAAACTTAATTGCTTACCTGTTACAATGGGAAAATTGTACAGTATCCTCAATGTATTATAATTTTTTAAATTTGCTTAAAGTATTAATATTTTAGATTTATGTACATAGGAAATGACAAAGGGGACAGCTTGCAACTTGCAAGTCACAATTCCTCTATTTTTCCGTTTCGTTTCGTTTTGTTTTTTTCTTTTTTTCTTTTTTTCTTCTTCAATACGAATATTCTCGTAAGACCAGTAACGAGCTCTATTTTGGGCTAATTGGATGATTCCACAATAATAAGACATTTGAACGTACACACGGTAAAAGTTCAAACATCTTCCTAGAAACCCCATATAACAGTACACTGTATACTCTTTTATATATCAGATTGGGAAACATTCATACCTTGATATTATAGGAGAAACTTTTTTTTCCCGGAAATCATAATTACCGAAAATATGCTAAAAAGTTACTTTCCTAATAATGTTACCAAAAAATTATTTGATAAGCCAAATTCTTACCAAGAATGTTATTTCAAATTTTCTAATTTTATGTTTGATTGATTGTCAAATATTATTAGAAATGTGATAATTTTATAAAACTAACCTCGCAAAATATAATCAGTTAGTATTAAAACAACCCAACAAAGCTCTTTCTGCAAAGTGCAAACTTTACTCACTTAAACACTTTTTTATTCATTTCTTAAATCTCACTCACTCTAAAACAAACACACAATCAAAACCAGATTTAAAACCCAATCGAAACCAGACAAAACAAAACAAGCTGAAGAAGAAGAGAGCGAGAACCAAAAGCATATATTCTCTTTCTCTTTTTCCTCACATTCTCTCTCTAAACCATCACTTTCTAGGTTGCATTTTCTCTCTATATATATGATATGTAATGTTTGTGCATGCGTGTTTAATTTGAAATCTGGTGTTGTGAGCATTTGGCTGTGAGAGAGAGAGAGGAAGGGTTAGGCACAAGTTAGATAGGATATGCCAAAGTTTGCCGGCAACGGGGGAGGTGTAGCAACGCTGGCGGCGTTAGGATCGTTCAACAAGGGTTTTTTTGTCCCAAAAAATATGAAAAACTTTTCCATCTCCTGGAAATCCAAAAATACCATCCTCCTCATGATATTCTTGGATGACATTTTGTTTCACAAATTGAAATCCCGGGAAACTGATTTTTCCAGAAAAACTTTTATAATCCTTATACCTAACGTAGATAAACATGATTCCCAATATCAATTTCACTTTAAAGTAAATAGCCATTAGATAGAAATATAAGAGTACACCCGCCCATTGGCATCATAACAAGATCATAAAGAAAACCAAAACAAAAAGGCAAATTTTCAAATGCGGAGGTAGAATCACTAATGGGTTAATCGCTTGCATGTCTGTAGTCCTTCCAATAAATATCGGATGTAAAAATCACATATATGGCTGATGTGAGGATTGCAAACTACTACCTACATAACGAGCATAGTTAGAAGGAGGGGCATTAGCTGGCTGGGTGTATATAGCTTGGCCAGGAACTTGATAATCATATGTAATTGCACCAGCAGTATGGGGATATCTATCAGAAGCTCCTGCATATGCAGCCCTAACTGGGGGAGCCTGCCTACCCATAACTCCAGTTGAAGCAGCGGCACCACCAGATGAATGGAGTGAAAAATATCTCTCATTAGGCCTTCGCCTCTTTGATTGCTGACGTTTGTAAAAATCTCCACTTCTCTTTTTATCTGACCTCGATTTCTCTAGTTGACTAACCCTTTTCTGCAGTGTATCAAGTGGGTATTCAGATTCGAGCTTGTATTCTTCAATGCACTTAATTACAGTTTTCAGTGCTGCAAGCTCTTGTGCATTGGCATCATTCTGCAAACAAATGACAATTTTAATATGACAAAATAAGAAATGCAGAACAAGAGAAATCCAGAATGAAGACATTTATTCAATTAGAACTTCAATCAAGCAACAAAGCATACCTTTGCAGTAGCAACATCACGCACACTTCCAGTCTTTACTTGTGAATTTCTCCTTCGGTTCTTGAGGTATACCTTCAGAAGGGGCACAGGGGCAAAGCTTTCTTGTAGCTGGAAGGCATGAATAAAATGTACAGCCGCAATTTGTTTCCCATTATTGATTAATAAATCCACAATAGCTGCATAAATAGTGAAAACTAGAATAATCAATATCTGATAATTGAATTACCTCTTAGCATGTCAAATCATACCAAAAGCAGTAGAATATATGCCATACGTGTCTACACTTTGTCAGGTAATCTAACTATAAAGCCCCAAAAGAAAACTATTCATCAAGTACAGGGATGATATCTGACAGGACAATCCTTCATTGCAGACTTCACAGGTCAGTTTATTAAAGGAACACCAACCTGGCACTTTGTGAATTAACCCAATAGAGCGGCAGAGCTCAGGTGCCCGCCTATGCTGAGCAACTGCAAGTACAAGCTTGCAGAGTTCTTCTTCATCAAACTCTGAAGCAATCCTAAAAGTCGAAAGAAGCTGCAAGAATGCCTCTGCTTCCAATGTATTTCCATTGGCAGCATCGATGTCTGCTCTAGCTAACTTGGGCTTCCACTCATCAGCAATTGCTTTGGCTTGCTGCTTGGTTTCAGGGTTCAGAAGGTGATCTGCACCTGGATCAACCCTTGCCAATAAGGTGGCCATGGCTTCCATAATTATAATACAGGATTTTCGCATGCCCTTAAGGGCAGCACCCATTTTATCATTTAGTTGGGTAGTTTCATCGGTGGGGTAAAACCCCTCCAGTGAATCCAGCACTAATCGTGCCGGAACAGTTGCACTTTCTAATGCAATAGAAATTTCTTCACGAAGAATGGACAGATTTTTTTTACTCTCCACAATAATATTCAGAAGACCTTTTGCATCCATTTGCTCACAAAAATGTGTCAGCTCTGGATGTGGCCTAACCTCAACAGCCACACCTTCAGACTTTTCACCTGATTTATGAGGAAAATCCTCGTCTGAGGAATTCGAATCGCCAAGAGAGCTGTTTACCTTGTTATCTTTGTTCTCCCCATCATACACAGACTCCAAAGTTGCAGCCTGGTAATTTGCATGAGCCTCTGCAATGGAAGCTACAGCAGCATCTTTAAGCTCCTGCAGCCGATCTAACAGGTCTTGCTCTTTTGAAGTAACTGCTGCCTTTCTCTCTGCAAGTAGTGTTTCCATTTCTAATTGTTTCTCTTTATACTCCCTCTCCTTAGCTTCCAGCTCTTCTAGTTTCTTATTCAATGTCGTCTCAAGGTCTTCAAAATGTTGCTTAATTTCAACCCACTGAACCTCATTCTCATAAGCCCCCTTCCGAGCTTCCAATCCAACAAATGCCTGAGCAAGTTGCTCTATCATAGACTGTGTTTTATTTTCCCTACCTTGCTCCATATCACCCATATTCAAGCAGCCTGGTCAACAGCGCTTCAAGAACAACTCAATTTAATGGTTAGAACGTTAATAATAGCATGAGAAAAACAAAAACAGTAATTGCTGCTAAATCCCTCGAAAGACCAATTTATATGCTCACAATTTGAAATAAAAATTAACCTGATATTTAATAACGCCATTTCTTTCTCATAATTTTCCATCTAAGAGTACCTACCACCTCCCTCTTCATACCTTCCTTAACCATTTATCTAAATAATTATGTTTTACATATCAAAACACCAAAAATATTAACAGTTTATCAAATGTACTCAAACAATTTGGCAAAATTTTCCTACATATATGTCTTCAGCAGGTTAACGGAACACAACAAACTTCATATGGTTTAAGAAGTAATGATGATTATTTTTAGGGTTTTCAATTGCGGAGCCGCAACAATACCATTGCGGCATTTTGCGGACGCACCACCGCATCGTTGCCGTTGAACAGATCGCAATTGCAGTTCTTCGACAGTCACAACAAAAATAAAGATAAAAAATAAAAAATGACCGAAACGAAATAGAAGAACCCTTCATTTTGAAACAGAACTATGAAATCTACCACGGATTAGAAATTTAGAAGAATGAAAACACAATCCAAAAGCTAAGTTAAAAACCTAGAAGAAGAAGTAGGGGCGAATCAGGTAAATAGAAAATACCTCAATTCTGATGCGAGAAAGTCGTTGCTATAACAAACTAGCAAGTATTTGTGCAAGCTCTTGCTTTTGCCCCCAATTTGAAAATTTTGAGTGTCCTAGTTCGTGGCTTGGAAGTTGAGAACTTATGCTTCGCGGTGCATGTTTGGGGCAAATGGACGAAGGGCACTGGCGAAAGAACAAGGGATAAGCTCTATGGAGAAAAGGGTATTGAATTCGACAAAATGATATATCATGTACTTGAATCCCTAATTATCTGTATTCTATGTTTTCTTCACTTCCATATCTCATGGTTTCAAATTTATTACTTATATTTATATCTACTGTGGTTAAATAAGTTAAAATTTTCATCCCTTGTGGTTTCATTGTGTATTATTTAATTTTGGGATTTGCTTCCATCATTTAATATGATTATAAAAAATTTCCTACATACACAATATTTTGTGGGACCCACATATTTTGAAGGAAAAAAAAAAGTTATGGCACACAAAACGAATCTCTATAACATAACAAAATCATTTTTCCTATAACATAACTCTTATAAAACCCTTTAATTTTATGTGGTTTCTAATTTTTACTTATATTTATTGTAGTTACAAAACTATGTCACTTAGCCTCTTGTGAATTTATAAATATAATTTTTTATATAATTATGATTTATAAATATAATTTTTTTATATAATTATGATATTATTAAATAAACTTTTAATAAAACTTATTTGAGAGGTTATACTTACAATCATTTTTTCTTCACAATCACTATTATGATTATTTGACAAAATTAAATCAATGACTCTCATTTAACGTCATTTTGTAACAATTGATTTGATTTTGATTCAATAACAATAAAAAATAGTTGTAAGGAAAAAAAGGATTAAATATAACCTTCCTCAAACTTATTATTAAATATTAAATTAAAAAATATTTAAAAATTTATTTATTTTAAAATTATATTGATCTTAATTTTAAAATATATATTTAAAATTAGAAATATTATAAACAAATTATTTATGTTAAAAAAGTTTATAATATTATAACGATATTAGATAAAAATAAAATAATATTTGTGTCAAATATTATTTTTACGATAAATATAAATAATTTTTTTAAAATTTATTGTAATTTATTTGAATTATAGGCATGATAGGCATTTTATTCTCCTAAATAATATTGTTTATTTTAAGATAATTTTTAAATAAATTGTTAACTTTAGCATAATTTCAAATATATAATTTTGAATTTTTCATTTTATTTTAATAATTAATTTTATTATAATGTAAATTGATACTATTATATCAATATAGAATATAAAAATAAAATATTTAGCGTGTATAAATTCATATATATCTGATTGATATCTAGGGATGAAAGTGAGCTGAACTTTGCACCGAAAAGTCCAAGCCTATGTCAAAATATTTCAATTGGTATGGCCCGATAGTATAGTATGAGTCTAACTAGAGGTGTAAATTGGTTAGGCCGACCTACAGGAGCTTACGGCCTAGCCTATATTATGTCAGACTTGGCCTATTATAAATAGTAGAATAGAACAGGCCTAGATTTTTAAGAAAACCTATTTAGAAAACACGCCATAGGCTTTTTTGTACATGTCGAGCCTATAAGCCTATAGGCCAGCCTATATCATATTATTTATTTTAAATAAAATAAATAAAATTATTGTTTTAATAATTTTAAATAATAAAGTAATATTATTTTTATTCTTTTAATTGTTGAATGTTTAATAGGTTTAAACAGGCTAACAGGCATAGGACAAAGCTTTTATTTTTTAAATATAGGTCAGGCCAAACTTGTAATTTGGGGTATACATAGGCTAACAGGTCAGGCCAGACCCAATATTTTTTACATAGGCCTAGTCTATTTAAGTCAAAAGTCTAGCCTAGCCTAGCCTATTTACACCCCTAAGCAAGGAAGCACGGACACTTGTAAAAACAGGAAGAGTCGTGTCCGACACTGCAACACGCTCCGACACAGTGTCGGACACGCGGTTGACTTTTTCCGACACGTTGATCATTCCGACACACGAATTTGACCGTGTCCGACACGGTCAAATGTCATTTTCGTAATCTTTTTTTAAAATTATTTTTTAAAAAAAAATTATTTTTATTTTTTGAAAAAAAATCAAAATATATTAATAAAGCCTCCACCTGATCATATCAATTTTATTTTTTTTGTCTTTTTTTCCCTTAAGTAGATAAGATATCATCTAGCATCATTGTTGTCAATTCCTATTATGCTCTTGTTGTATCTCCTTCTCTCTGATCTCTCTCTCTAATATGATTTGATCTCTCTATCTGATATTATATCTCTCTCATCTCAGTTCTTATTTTTTTTATTAAAACTTCCATCTTTATAATGTGTTGATGGGTATTATTAATTTAGTTTCTTTTTTTTGTTAAATTATTAAATATTAAATGAAATATACACTATATAAATTAAAAATATTATTTAATATTAAAACGTGTCCCAACGTGTCGAAATTCATAATTTTTTAGGATTGACGTGTCGGAGTGTCGTGTCGTGTCGTGTCATGTGTCGCGTGTCGTATCGGTGCTACACAGCCCCTAAGTCTAACTGTTAGCCTGACTTGGCCTATTTAAAAAAAACAAATGGTCTGGTCTGGCCTGTTAACTTTTAACTTCCAAGCAGAACCATAAATCAACTTCACAAAATACTTAAAATCTATTATTAAAAAAAAATCATAATTTCAACATCCAAACAGAATCATGAATCACAATAACAACTCATCACAATCTGCATTTATATCACTTTATGAAGCAAAATGCTCAAACTAAATAACATATGTTTCATCAAATCCAACAAACCAATTCATACTGTGTAAATTGAAATAACTATATGAATCCAACAAACACATCATAATGCTTGTAGTAATAAAAAACTTCTCATCATCTTCTCTCCCGTGCAAATACAATTCCAAGGTTACATAAGTTGGCAAACAATTTGTAAATGTAGAAATCAAAAACAAGATTAAAGAATAAAAAAAATTAAGAAACAAAAAACATTTTAATACATTCATATAAACAATCTTACATGCTGAGATGTTGGTTCCTCCTACATAAAAAATAAAGTCAGTTTTCTATTAAAATTTAATAAATTATAAAATAATTTCAATTGATTAAATTTATGTCTTTTGTTTTTTTCTTCAAGCCATACTTATTACGTAGTCAATCTCCTCCGCATATTAATGTTTGAATGGTATCTTCAGCCAAACTAGAATGATAAGCATCAATAACTCTTTCTCCAGCACTAAATGTTGATTCTGATGTTATTGTAGAGACTGATACAGATCTTATGCCCCTCTCAAAGGTGGTATTGGTGGGGATTTAACTTAGGTCCTTCCACTACCTACCCAGCTCACATGCATCAACTGAGCTAGCATCATTTGATACTACTATGAATAATAATATTTTATGTTATTTAAAATAAATAATACAATATAGGTCGGCCTGTAGGCTTATACGCCCGGCATGTAAAAAAAAAACATATGGCCTACTTTCAAAATAGGCTTGTTTAAAAGCCCGAGCCTGTTCTATTTGATTGTATACTATAATGCACCGACACTGATACGAGACACGACACGCCAACACGTTAATTTTAAAAACTGTCATTTTCGACACGTTGGGACACATTTTGATATTAAATAATATTTTTAATATATGGAAAAAGTGTTTGTCATTTTAAATAACATAAAGTTATGTCATTTTAAGAGAGAGACAGACACACACAAAAAATTATTTAAATATTAAACTAAAAAAACCACCCACTTTCTCTCCCATGATTTCCATTTTTCTGTGTCTATCTTTCTACTAAAATGACATAACTTATGTCATTTAAAATGACAAACACCAAACCCTATATATAATATAATTTATATTTAATACATATAACAGCATATAATAAGTTATATAACCAATCAAATATTCAAATTTCCTAACATAAATATAAACAAAAATAATTTTTCGTATCTTGTTAATTTTTCATGTAAATTTCATAACAGAAAAAAATTGATTTATAAATTACTTTTTTATTTTTAGTTAATAAAATAAAATTAAGAAGTAAAAAAAAAAAACGTGTCAGATCGTTGACCGCGTGTTGAAACGGGTCGGAGCGACACGCACAATTTTTTTAAAAAAATTGTGTATCGGTGCTTTAGAGACTGTGTATAATAGATCGAGTCTGGCTTAATATAGGCTAGGCCATAGGATCCTGTAGGCCGGCCTGACCCACTTTCACCGTTACTGACATTATTATTAACTACAACAAATTTAAAAATAAATAGTATATATATATATTAAAAATTCTAATTTAACTTAAATAAATTTTTAAGATAAAACGTTTTTTATATTTTAAATAATATCTTTGATTTTTAATATAAATATAAATTATTTATTATATATTTTTCATATATATATTTTTAAGATAATTATTAAAATAATTCATAAACATATAATTTTTATTTTAATCTTTAATACTTAATCTTATTATAAAAACTAAGAAAATAAAAAAATTGTATATATATAAAGGGAAAAGTGTGTGTCATTTTAAGAGAGAGAAAGAGATAGATAAAGGAGGAGAAAGAGTTGACAAAAAAATAAAGGTGTGGATCTCACTTCTTTGTGAGAGTGAAAGTATATAAGTTGTGTCATTTAAAAGGATAAACATTTTTTCCATATATAAAATCACATGAGATTTAAGTGAAACATTTTAATAGCCAAAATGGGTATATATATCATACTTTATAATCACAATGTGTCCAAATAACAAGTTTGAAACTATAGAAGGTCAAGTGATAAATCATGTAATCACAACGGGTGAAAATGAAGTTATCCCAAATATTATTGATTATTATTTTATATTTTAAAATAAGTATTTGACGTGATTTCACATAAAAAAAAGGATTTTAACGTAATCGAGTATAATAATAAGGATGATTATTTTGCAATAATAGATAATAGATGAAAAAATAGGAATAAAATATCAATTTTATATCAAATATTCAAATGGATAAATATTTTAGGAATTTAATTTTTAGAGTAAATACATTTTTCGATTCTCAGCAAATTTTACGATGTCTGCTTTAGTCCCTAGCAAATAAAAAGGCTATTCGTGATCCCTGAGAAATTCAAAGTGGACCAATTTTAATACTTTTGAAGGACTAATGTGGATCTTTTTTGAATTTGTGAGAGACCACGATTTCAATTAAATAGATCCATTTTGAATTTCCTAGGGACCACAAATAGCCTTTTTTATTTGCTAGGGACTAAAACGGGCATCGTGAAATTTGTTGAGGATCAAAAAAAATATTTACTCTTATTTTTATCTACTATCAATGTAAAAATATTTAACACTCGCATTCGTAAAATAAGTTTGATTATGTCAATAATTTGTATGAGTTGTCATGCTTACTAAATACTGTAGTAGTATAAATTGGTAAGTATAAATTTTTTATATTAAAATTAAATATAAGAAGCCTGTTAAAAAAGGATATCGACGAGGTAGGAATACACTGTTTCCATTTCCAGTACTTCCTGACAAACTTTGGTACCGAATTTGGTCTCAAAAGTTGCAAATTCCACTGTTAATTAACAAATATAATAAAATCATTTATATAACTTCCTATAATAAATTAAGCTTTTAAAATAATCATTTCACCACATGATATTAAAAATTTGATCTTGATTACCCTTACTGTACATATTAAAAAAAGAGAGAGTTTATTACAAAAAAAGAAAAAAAGAAAAAAAGAGAGAGTTGAAATTAAAGTAAAAAGTATACAAACATGTGCATTTTTCACACCTTAAAGCTAAGAGAGAATTCTTGCATAATTTTAAAATTAATAGTTCACAGTAGCTCCAGTCCTTAAAAAAATGAGCAAAAAAGAAAGTAAAAATAGGAGATACATTGCCTGTTCGAAAACTAGAGCTATCAAGGTGTCTCAACTACATTATATCAGTGTGTTTCCATGGCATTTGACAACAAAATTTGAAGTGATACAACGCTAAAATCTATTTATTTCATAATTTACAGACAAACAGTAAGGTGCCACTACCCATTGCATCAACTTTCTGACTGAGCAGCTGTCTTTGATGGAGTTATGGTTTGCCAAGGTGAAAAGGTAATGGCCCGCCGAATAAGGTATAATATGAATGCAACATATGCAGCAGTTACTACACACACTACAGCGCCAATTATTGCTCCATTCACTTCAGAGGAGAAGAACTCCACCAAAAGATAGCCATTAATCAGTATCACCAGAGCAGCCACAAACCAAGAAATAGTCTGTATCCATATCAGAAACCACTCAGTACTTTATTAATCAAAACAAACTACGAGCAGAATATGGGACGGAAGGGGGTTAGTACAGAAACCAATTGAATCCAAGATATAGAGAAGCTATGGTTTAAGAACACTTATCACCAAGTCAAAGCATCAAACTGAAAGTAAAACCCCACTGAGCAAGTTCAATGGAGAAACAAACAGCATCAAACCACTAGAATCAAAGATCCAAATGAGAACAGAAAGGAAAGAAACAAGCCGGGGGAAGGTTTGAAACTAATGTCTTCAGACTACGTTAGTCAATCTTGTTCACCATATCTGGAGATATGTTATCAAAATATCAAGTATACACAAACCTTCTACCTTCCCAGGTGAGACTACACTGACAAACATTTTTTTCTTATATACATGAATACAAGTCAATATAAATAATGTATCTGTTTCTCCAAACTTCAAATGTTGCATGTTAAAGTTTGATTTTTAAAAATATCCAAAATAACAGCACATACAGTCCAGAGACCCTAGTAAAATGCAGGAAAGTTGCAAAATGCCCTAATTTCCTAATATATCCCCAATATTCTGTTAGTTTTCTAACACATACATTTAAATTATAAATCAATAATTATGCCTGCATGTATCAACGCCTCCATGCATGTGGATGACAGACTACTTTATAGATGATGGCTGCATGTATAACATGAGAAATCAAGTCAATTGATGACACAAACTTGAAGTAAATGAGGATAAAAGTAGAACTGCACCCACAAGATAAGAGGAACAAATGCATTATAGATGTTTAACCCATAACTGATGTCCATGCTGACATCATAAGCAGTTTCCAACAGTAGGAATACTCAATAAACTACATAACATGTAAGTAATATTGAATACATCATGATCAAAATGATAAATAACAAAAAGGATTAAAAAAAAAATCCGTAGTAATGCATCAACTACTTAATGACTTGTGGATATAGTTATTTGCAAGAAAAATAACAGTCCAAAACACAGTATGATCGTAAAGGAAAAAAAAGTAACGAAACCAATCCGCTGGATACACCGCACCTCCTCTCAATCCCAAGACAGGACAGTAAAATCCCGCCCACCAAATTGTCTCTTTAGAATCTAACTCTAAATTGCAAAAGAGATTAGGAATAAATTGATTCAGTTCTAAATTTTCTCCTGTCTGAACTGCAACAAGAAAAGGTCTATATTGGGCCACTTCTGAATTATATCCTAGTTAATTAAATTATTGTTTGTTAACTATCAAAAAAAAAAAAAATAATGTTTGTTTTCACTGATGAATAATATAGGCATATACAGACAGCAACTTCATACAAAATGAATTAACTTGTCATCACAAACCAGATATATAAACCAATATTGGGTACCTGGTAAATGACCAGTGTGACCAAAATGCAGATAAAAGGACGCCATACCTTGAGGACAGAGCCAATTTTGAAGCTGCCCATTATCTGCTCCTTTGACACCAGACAGAGCAAAGGAATAAGTGCAAAGGGGATTTGGACTGACTGAAGAACATTAAGCCACTCATTCAGAACATCTAATGATTGCTCTGAGGTATCAAATATAAGAGCCACTATCATGGTTGGGATTATTGCACAACTTCGGGTAATTAATGCCCTCGTCCATTTCTTCAACCTTAAATTTAGAAAGCCTCCCATGATAAATTGTCCAGCATAGGTACCAGTAATAGTGCTACTCTGGCCGGCTGCTAATAACCCAATACCCCATATATATAATATTGGAAATAGTCCACCCCCATACGTCTCCTGAAGGTACTGTCCTGCATTTGCAAGACCAATGCTATTTGCTAGTTCAGAACCATAAAACCCCTTAGCAAACACAGTTGTGACAAATATATTAATGACAAAGGAGACTATAAGGGCAAGGGTGGACTCTATAGAGTAATAATTAAGAGCTTCTTGAACTCGGCCCTTCTTGCTGCGGTCAACCTGCCTTGATTGAACAAGAGCAGAGTGCAAGAACAAATTGTGAGGCATAATAAGGCATCCCACAACTCCAACAGCCTGCTGTATAGTTCTGGAGCTGAGTTTAGGAATCAAAATGCCTACAAAGTTAAAATCAGACTCTGTATCAGATTTAAAGCAAGAACAACAACTAACAATTTACTCATAAACCACTCCCCATGAAATCCACTTTACCCTTGCATTTTTGCAAAGAGGGTTTGCAAAAGCCCAAATGAATTAAACAAACTCCTTACCAAGAAGAAGTTCCTTGCCACTGGGCTTTGCTTCACCAAACATCCATGCGAACGCGAGTGCCATTATACCAATGAGGACAGCAAAAAGAGCTTCCAATGTCCTCACACCATAGTTCTCAAGAAATAGAAAAATAAAACTGAAACAAGGCAACAAAACACATACACGTCAATGTTTATTCCGGTATTACCATACATAGTTCAACAAATACAAATGCTGCTAGTTTTAGTAACTTTCAAAATGTAGTTACAGGAAAAAAACTCAAGTACTCTAATAATTCCCGTTTTGAACTTAAATAAAAAAGAGTTCCACTCCAATGTCCAAGTAAACCAAGAGGAATTTAAAAACCTTAAACCAAGGAAGGAACTTGAATAGATCCAGCATGATGTTTTAAGCACCTAAACAAAAAAAACCTTATACTTAACTGCAATTAAAAAAAAATGAACCCCAAAATGCAAAATCCAACAAAATCAAGGAAGAGGAACAACCACAAGCATAGAAGATTAGTGAATTACCAATCAAGAGCTGTAATGATGACCCCACCCCAAAGGGGCACAAACCCATTACTGAGGATCCTAATAGCAATAGCGCTACCAATAACTTCTTGTATATCTGAACCAATCAAAGCCAACTCAGCCATGACCCAGAGCACCATGCTGGCCCACTTAGGGTACTCTTCCCTGCAGAGCTCAGCCAAGTGCCTCCCAGTAGCCACGCCGAGCCGGGCCGACAAGAGCTGAATCAAGAGGCCCATGGCCGTGGCCCACAAGAGAAGCCACAACAGCGAGTACCCAGCAATTGCTCCGGCCTGAAGGTCCCCCTCCAGGTTCCCAGGATCCAGGAAGGCGATGCTCATCAGCAAGCCCGGCCCAGTGAACAGCCATAGCTTCTTCCACGAGAATGGCGGCACCTTACCCCAGTTGTTGTTCCCTTCGTTATCGGACTCGTCGATTCCAACAACCACTATCTTCTCTGAGGAATCGTAAGCTGTTTCTTCTCTCTCTTCTTCCACTAAGAGTGGCTCTTCGTGGTCTTGCGGGGTCCGAGCCATGGTGATTGATGGGTTCAAGCTTTCGGAATTTGATTGGACCGGTCACTCTAATTTCACAGGTTCGATCATTTGTCCTTGGTTTTATGGTTAACAAGTTAGTGATAGGCTTTGAAAACACTGCAGATGTGTCATCCTGTCACGTGCATAACTAAGTCTTCGTTTGTATGAGCAGAAATTGTTGTCTGTTCTTGTTGTGTGTGCAGCGCACTTATTTGTGTGTACACCATTGCATCTTTGTGCAATTGTTTCCTTGCCACAACACGTCAGCTTCGGGAAAATTAATTAACAGCTACAGTGTCTGTTGTGTCGTCTTATCCGCGGATTGTTTATCCGCACAGGAAATAATTACATTGTTTTTTCACTCATAGATTGGAGAATTACAGTGGTGATTTGATGAGTAATTGAGTATGATACTTAATTACTTGTTAGTTATTTATTATTCGCGCGGTTTTTTTTTTTTTCTCGATATATCGGTTTTAATGATATTTTTGAAGTTAGTAGGCTTCTTGATATTTTCTCACCTATTTTTTTTTTTTTTTAATAAACTACAAGTATTCTCATAAGCCATCTTGCTCGTGGCGAATATAAAATTAAAATTTTAAATTCCTTCGATAATAATAAAGAGTATCGAATATATATTTTTATTCTGACAACTCGAGTATCGTATACAACGTAAAATTGTAGTGGGGGGTAAAAGTCGTACATGTATGTATCTACAGCGCAGAGGAACATCTAGGGCAGCGACGAAGGAGGAAAGTGCGGAGAGGGTAATTTGACGCTGCCAAATGTGCGCGGGCCACGAGTGAGCAAGTGTCATCGTCGTGGAGGGCACGTGGATTCACGGACTTCACATGGCGCCTTCTGCAATAGTTAAAAACTGCAAAATTATTTGGACTTTTCCTTCTTTTTTGTCTCTTTCAAAGTTTTTTTAACTTTGTTTAAAAAAAAAAATTTAACTTTTTCTTTGAAACTATAGTATAATTAGGAATCAGAATAGAAATGTTTAGAAATTAATATAATTTACATATTAATTGTAAAATTATCAAATAAAAAATTCATTTAATATGTTATTTTATTTATATACCAATATATTCGATCTTGAGCATTGACCGTACTGCTCTCTTTTTGAATATAATATACTTGAATGTCATGGAGTCAAAAAAAAAATTTACGACACCATAATCGCTAAAGTAGTCAACTATTATAGACCGGACACGTGTCACGTCCCAAGTGGCTGGACACACAACTCATTCAATCCAAAGTCGCTACATAAGGTAGCTACTTTGGTGCAACAGGCCTGAAAGCCGCTGGGGATGTGACACGTGTCTCATCCCAGTGGCGGAGCCACATGTATTATGGGTGTGGCTTTGGTCCGGACTAAATTTTAACAAATTATACTTATTATATAATTTATAATTAATTATAATTTGACCCGGGCTACAATTTGTAATTTGGCCCTATGTAAAATTTAAAATATTTTGGCGAAAGATTTGGGTAAGTTGTATTAGGTTATGTGTCTAATTTTCACTTGTATAAAATAAATAAATTATTTTTAGTAAAATTAAAAAATATTTAATAAAATTATAACTCTTCTTAGTGCTGCTTGCTCATATGTTATGTATTTAATATAATTTAAATATATTATGATATGAACTAACTAAAATTAAGAAAAATAAATACGTATATAATTTTTTGGCCCGGGCTCAAATTTGAGCCTGCCTCCGTCACTGTCCCATCCATAGTAGCTGACTACCTCAGCGACTATGATGTCGTGGTAGTTTGAAAAAAAATTCAACTTCGTGGCATTCAAGTATATTATATTCAAAAAGGGGCAGTACAATCAATGTTCCATTCGATCCTATGGGGTCGAGGATGTCTAATAAAAAATTAGTGAATTTATATAAAATTGATATGCTCTTATATATGGTAAAATCATTTCTACAGCCGCTTTACGTACAGTAATGACAGGTGTATGATTATAATTCTTCATATTTAACGCTTTCATCTTTTGTATGGTTATGATTCCATACATTTAATGCTTTCACGTATATATATGACAAATATTTGATTGTTGCATCTACAGTAGTTGCAGAAATGTAAACCCCTTTATATATATATTATATATATATATATATATGACAAAAAAATTTCTCCAGTCAATGGAGATAAATTATCTCTTGTAAGCGCAAAATGACATCATTTTGTGACAGAAATCAAGGTATTTTTGTAATTTTAATTTATTACAAGGTTATATTAAGCTCTATCATTATAATTTTTTAATCTTACAACCCAAAACGGCGTAGTATGGTAAACAATGAAGTCAAAGAGTGGAGATTGTCTACAGTGACAATAAAGAGAGAGCATAAAAAGTGCATACCTGGTTGGCTTAGGCTCTTATTTGTAGATGATTACCTGGTAGAAGTGGAATTCTGGACCTCTTAAGAATATTTGGGGACCAATACTCGATCCACTAGTGATGTGATGAGATTGGTATCTTATTAGGCAAGATTGTTTCCTTATATATCTTAGCTATTATCTGTCGTGGATTGTAACACCCCGTATATATCCGGTTTGTTATCATATCTTCGTATTGAGCTGCGCTTAATTTAAAAATGCGAAATATCTTTTTCTTTTCAATTATGATGTCATTACACTTAGCCAAGTTGATTACTTAATCGTTTTCAAAATAACATTGCTTGTATGTAATTGCAAAGACAACTAACTGAAATACTTCATAATATATAATAACAGTGAGTATCTAAAATCACGGATCTACAACACGTAGTCCAGACAATATCCTGATACATTATTACAACTCCAATCCAAACTAAGACATAGCCAAGTCAACGTGACATGACAATCCTCATACTCACCAAATAACAACCGCGTCTCAACAAGATAATCCATAATACTAAATGAAGCTAAAAGCATAATAGCAACAGGCATATCCAGTAATCAACATGTCAACATATAAGCAGCAAATCTATCTAAGCTCCGGCCTCCTGCCGCCTGAGGTCTCAACCCCAGCATTACCTGAACCTGAAATGGTGCCCCAAACGTGGGGTGAGATCTCTAAACAGAAATCTCAGTAAGACAAGGGGTTCTCAAGGATCTTCCACCCCAAGCTCACTTACATGTGCAATATAAGTTATAAAAGCAGTCATCAATATAAGTTCCAAAAATATGCAGTGCAACAGATATCCATGTCATGTGTGTATAACTATTCTACTGGCCATATAAATGCAGGAATACGTCTATCTCCTACATGTAGTACAAGGAACACCGCTTGCACCTCACCCACAGCCTCACCATATTGTATGTACCACATACTCAGGCTTACCGTATAGGCGGAACACCACATGCATATCCAAAAGACACTGGCATATAACAGCTCAATAGCATTTCCAAAACATCAAAAGCATGTAACACAACGTGCATATAACCATACCCACATGAGACATGGTGGAACCACAACATGGCTAAACCGAGGACACGAAAGCTTACATGTACCCGTATGTCCCTCCGACTCGAACTCGGTATCACAAGGGTCCACACCACAAATAGAATACAATGCACTCACAGATCTGGTTCAATGACCATCATAGTATTAATATACATATTCTAAAATTTCAAGACAATCGAATATTATTTCTTTTCCAATTCGAACCTGGAGATCCTTTCTAAGACATATCATTTAACTTATTTAATTTTAGATAATTATTGTCTTATAAATATATATACCTAACGATTCCATATAACAAAATATATATATATATATATATATATATATATATATATATAAGACTAATATATATATAAGACTACGCGACCTTTTAAAAAGAAACGTGACCTTTTAAAACTAATATAACAATATATATATAACAATATAAGTATAAGACTAATATATATATATGGGTTTTGCGATTGTCCTGTTGTAGGACCCCACTCCCGTTCCTGCACACACATGTATATTTTTTTATTAAGATGTTTTTTTCAAAAACAAAATATATATTGGTGGACCCCACAAATATTGTATCTATGACATGATGCAACAAATATCGTGTTACATGATACTTCTATTACCCTATATATATAAAAGGGGTTTACTAATCTCATGATACATGAGATAGTACTCTTATGTGGGTGATACAAATATGTGGGGTCCACAATTTAAAAAGAAAAGAAAAAAGAAAAAAAAAATTGGCACAAAATTCTATGGGTGTATGACATGAGATAGATATCTTATGTAGCATGACACTATCATTTCTCTATATAAAACTACGTGACCTTTTACAAAAACCACGCCTCTGACTCCCTGGGTTCAAATAGCATACATAATATATAAAAGCATGGATAAAGAAAAGTAATGGCTCGGCTCCCTGGACCAACAAAAGTGTAAGAAACCAAAATAAAAAAAACAAAAGGTGTAACCGAAGAAAATAGCCCACCGTCATTTTCAGAATGCTATTGTAGCAGTAAAATATAATAAGGATTATAATCAATTTATGGATTTACAAATGGTAGTTAAATTTACCTAGGATCCTTTTGAGAGCAGAAAAATGAAAGCTTTAGAGGTTGAGAAAACATTCAAATCTTTCAACAATGGGTTCTCCTTCAACAAGACTAGAGCTTTAATGGATGGGTGGTGTTTCAATAGAGAAGAGGAGGATAAAGGTGAAAACTTTGGAGGCTTACCAAGAGAAAAACCAAGACCCCAAGAAAACCCCAAATGTGAGCCACAATCAGCTGCTGAGTTTCTAAAAGCAAAACTTAGGGTTTTGCTCCCTTTTTCTATTTATAAAGTCACTTAAGTTAAACTAGCAGTATTAATTGAATTAGTTCCGCTCTTCGTTTAACTCTAAAATTTTAGATTCTTAACCTAGATATTTTTCTAGGAATTTTCAAATTTTTATTTTATTTTTTCGCAACACTTTTTCGATACGCGTTTTTCACGCTGACAGTATTAGTTTTGGCACCAGTTCTCATTATTTTAACTTGAAACTCGTTTTAAAAGTCCTATATGTTATTCTAGTAATATATACTCATTTTTCATAATTTTCCGGGATACTTTATCGGTACGCATTTATACCAACTAGCAGAACCGGTATCTGCACTTTTCTTCCGAAAAGCGACTTCCAGCATTCTTAATCAATTACTATAATTATTAGAGCCTCATAATAATTATTAGGGTCAATTATGAAATTATTTTCTAATTTC